GGCTGAAAAGTTCAAAACCTATGCACCAGCAAATCCAGAGTCTGGTGAGTGTCCTCTTCCTGGTTTGCAGATGCCATCTTTTCATTGTATCTCATATGGTGGAAAAAGAAAAGGAAGTAAGTTCTCTTGCATTTCTCCCATCATGAGGATAGTCCTCCAGAGTTCCCATCTCCAAATCCCCATCAAACTTAAGATTAAGGTTTCAACATATGCATTTGGGGAGGGGGGACATAAACATTTAATCCATAATAATCTCTTTCATCTGTTTGGGAAATTCTTGGCCATCATTGTTTCAAATACTGCTTCTACCCTATTCTCTTTTTTCTCATCATTTGGGACTCCATATTTTATGGTTTGGATATGCAGTATCCCCCAAAAGCTCCAATGTTAATACAGGAAGTGAAATGATTAGATTGTGAGAGCCATAACCCAAACAATGAATTTGTCCCTTTAATGGCTTAATAATTTGAAAGGATTACTGTACTGGCTAATAACTGTAGAAAGATAGGGGGTGGCTAGAAGTTGGTTACTGACAGCATGCCTCTGAGATTTATATTTGTCCCAGCACCTTGCTTTTTCTCTCTGCTTCCTGGTTGCCAAGAGTAGACTAGCTTTCCTTCTCCATGCTCTTCCACCATGATGATCTCCCTAATCCTGGGCCCACAGCAATGGAGTGAGCTGACCATAGATCAAACCTCTGAAACCACAAGCCCCAAATTAAACTTTTCCTCCCCTAAATTGTTCTTGTTGGGTATTTTGTTCACAACAATGAAAGGCTGACTAATGTACCATAGTAGACTTTTTAAAAAATTATATTGCATAGGTTAAAAAAAAAACCCTACAAATATTAGCCAAAAGAATGCTGATATATGGGGCTGTAGCTGTAGCTCAGTGGTAGAGCACTTGCCTAGCATGTGTGAGGCACTGGGTTTGATTCTTGACACCACAGATAAATAAAATGAAAGTCCATCAACAACTTTAAAAAAAAAAGAAAACTTAGAAAAGAATGCTGATATGACTATACTATTCTCCGCTCCCCTCCCACTCTTATCTGGGTCGGAATTATTTTCCTTCTGATTTTTCAGGTCACTAGCTCTCTTTAGCTGTATCTAATCTGCTATTAAATCCTGTTTTTGTTCTCTTTTGCTATATTACCATCTACCCCAAAATTTTGTGTCCTAAAATAACTGCCACTATTTCCTTGTTCAAGATTCTGTAATTTGGTAAGGTTCAGTGGGAATAGATTGCCTCTGCTCCATATGGCATTGTCTAGGGTAATTGAACTAGAATTAAAGAATCCAACATGGCTTCATTCATTTGTCTGTCATCTCAACTAAAGGGATTGAAAGAGTTGGGAACCATCTGGGCCTCTCCCTTTTCACTTTCTCTCTCCAGTATTTCTTTTTCCAGGAACTGTCTCTCTGCATGTGCCCCACTCCCTCGCCATAGCAGCAAGTGGCGAAAGTAATAGAAATGGATTCTGATGCAAAGTCTAGGTAGCTCTCTTATAACATGCTGTGTGCATGTGCTCGGTCAACATCAGCTTTTCCTGACTCCCTTTCCACAATTCTTTATATCTCACCATGTTTACAACAAAGATAACAATCCTGACATTTAAAAATATGTATTTATTTTTTTAGTTGTAGTTGGACACAATACCTTTATTTTATTTATTTATATTTGGTGTTGAGGATCAAACCCAGGGCCTCGCATGTACTAGGCAAGCCTTCTACTGCTGAGCCATGACCCCAGCTTACACAATACTGACATATTTGATGAGTGCTCTTCTAAGGGCTCTATATGTATCATTACATACATAATTCTGGGCAAAGGAATAGATTTTTGGCAATTGAAACATCACAGAATGGGTGAATTTGGGGGCAGGATTTGAAGGAACTATTAAGTCATTAAGTCAAGATATGAAAAGAGAAGGTGAAAATAGGAGCAGATCAGCAATATATGTGGATATGTATGAGCAAGAAGAGGATGGCCAAAAAAAAAAAAAAATATATCAAGGAGCCAAAATCAGGGAGAAGTATTAGCTCACAAGGATCAAGTGATCAAAGGTAGTTGATATTATTTCCATTTGTGAATGGATTTTCATCTAAGTTTCAGGAATATAGTTAACTTTTTCTATTTTGATACCAGCAAATAGACCAGTTCCTGGGGCCACACTGATTAAACTAAAACATATCAGGCTCTTTTAACAATTCTAATAATATCTCTAAGGGGTTACACATACACATTATCTGCTAAATATTTGAATAGAGTATTGTTCTGGAATAGCCACAGCATCAGTCTTTTGCAGAAAGCACAGAAACCAGTCTGAAAGCTCTATCCACAGTGAAAGCCACAGGACAATGCTTCATCCTCAGCAGCAATGTGTTGACAAGGTGGTCTGTATCCAACCTGGCTGCAGAGATAGATGGGCTTTTAGCCAGGCACACTAAAAGATTCCTGATAATCAGCCAAAGGGTACCCATGAGGGGATCTCAAGTGATTGTGTAAAGTCTAACTTGGTTAGGGCATGAGAGACAGGCAAATTATATGTGCTGAGCAGTCAGACAAGGCTCAATTGAAAACATGAATCCAAAGCAAAAACTGGGAGAAATTTCTACCTTCCTAAAATAACCAAACTCTGACAATTACCCCATTTTTAGCCTCTTTCTTCAACCACTCTACAGGCTCCTTCTCCTCATTAAAAACTCAAATTTCTCCTATCTTCAAAAACCAATCACCACAGAACAATTCCCACTTCACGCTTTCTTACTACTCTTTCTGCACTGTTGGGAATGAGCTGTCTATACTTCTTGCCTCCACATTTTTGCCTCTCACATCTCAAGTCACCAAGTCTCTGGTTTCTTTCCACTACTGTTTAGTTAAACAGTTCCTGGTAAGATCACCAATGACTTCTCAATCACTATATTCAATGGATTCATCTTTGTTGTGTGTTACTTGACCTCCCTGTGGCATCTACCTAGATATTTCCTTCCTTCTAGAAATTCTTTAACTCCTTGGCTCTGATAACATTCCCTTCTCCTGCCTAATACTAAAATGTTGGAGTTACTTTTGGACTTATTCTACAGTCTCCTGAGCATCCTCTGTCATGGTTTCAATCACCACTTGTATATTGACATCACTCAAATCTCTACCTTCTGCCTTGACCCCTTTCTCTAAGCTGCATGTTCAGCAACTCACTAAATATCTTCCTGGGTGTCCCATGGAAATCTCAACACATCCAAAATACAGTCATGTTCTCCAAACATATTCATTCTTCATGGATTTCCTCGCCTTGGTGAATATCAAAACTAATAATCCTGTTGCTTAAGCCAGAAATCAGGGAGTTATAATTGACTCGGTATTATTCTTCCTATCCACCTACCACCCAATGAGTCAGCAAACAGTCTCAATCCTTGACTTCTCTCTCCTGATGAAGGCCCTCAACTGGGATCCTGCCTCCAGTCTCTCACCCTCAAATCCACCTCCACACTGTCCACCAGAGTGATTTGTCTAAACCTAAACTATGATCATGACACTCCCGGGTTCCAACCACCACAGCTTCCAAACTAACCATCTTTTCCCTTTCAGTTCCTTGATCTGACCACTTGGATTGGACAACTAGGACTTTGGCAGCTGGTCAGAGGGGTCTGGCTTTGATATAAAATATAGGAACCACCCTACCAGTTCATATGGAGGTTGTGACACAACAGCTACACAAGGCAGGTTCTAGAAGTGAAAGACACATTAGCAGACCATCATAGGAGGCAAAAGGACCAAGAACAATCTTCCACAGTGAGAAGAAAGGAAAAAGTGAAGCTGTGGGACAGGCAGAGAAGGGTAACTGCCTAAAAAGGGCAAATCTTAAAGAGAAAATAGTAAGGATATGCATTAAAGTACTGCCCAACCACAGTTAACAAACAATCCACAGGTTGTCTAAAACATTACAGCTCATTATTGGAAGCCCAGCACCAAGAGCAAGGGTAAAACACAATTCTACAGGGCAAGGGAGGGAGATGAATGCTGGGGGAAAATCTACCTTCTGTAGGAGAGAGCACCGGCAAGAAAGCCTAGAAGAGGGTAGTTTACAAACCAGAATTGTCCTTGTGACAAAGTGAAGGCCACAAAAAGTCAGCTGCACTCAGGAGCACCAGGCGACCTCTTAAAGAAAGTGGGCTTTGGGATGATGAAAGAAGCAGAATTCATTCACTGAGCAGACTCAAAAAATTTCCTTGAATTATTTTATTTACTTCTTACAAAGAGAAGTGTTAATGAAGAGTCTTGCTCCCAAAATGACTTTGAAGGCAGTCAGTTATGGTGTTCACAGTAAAATAACGGTAAGGCACATGCTGTTCTGGACCTAATTAACTGCATACAGAAATTACCAGAACCAGATGCCAGTTAAAAAAAGAAGAAGAAAGAAAACCAAAACAAAACATTGTCCAAAATGTTGCCAGTGTTGAAAACTAGTGATCTCTCTTAAGTCCTTTTCACAGAAACTGCTGGCCTATGAAACCCACACAGGGAAGCATAACCATATGGACTTTGACTCCTGAAGGTCCACGTTCGAAACCCGACTATGCCCATTTGGTGAAGGAGAAAACCTCCCAAGGCTTGGGAAACAGTTTGCCCCGAGTGGCCCATACTGCATTGTTAAGAGCAGACCCGCAGCAAGAACCTTACAAGGTCGCCAACTCGCAACCAGTGCTCCCTTTCCTACAGCTTGAAGCCCAGACTGGGTGCTCAAACCTCCTGGAGCGCCTTTGTCCCCCTCTTCAGCGAGCCCCGCGGAGGTGGCCAGTCGGGCTGAGCAGCCGAAGGCGAGCGGGGGCGGAGGCGGGGCGCTGGCGCCCCGAGCCGCGGAACAGCGGGGAGGGGGCGGCGGGTGGCGATTGGCTGGGCTGCTGCAGGCCGCTCAGGGCCGAGAACAAAAGAGAGCTGGCGGCGGGCGTCCGTGGAGTAGTGCTCCCGCCCGCCAGCACGGCTTCGTGCTGGGAGGACGCGCCCACCGCCCGCGCGCCCGCCGAGCACCGGGCCGGCGCGCTCGGTTTCTCCGCAGAAGCCGGCCGTGCACCTAGGAATTAACCGGTGGCGCGGGAGGGAGCGGAGCGGGCGGGGGGGATGCTGAGCGCGCGCGAGAACAATAATAAGATCGTGTTTGCGGTCGCTGCCCGAGGAAGAATTCGGAGGCGGCGCGAGGCCCGGCGCTCGCGCGGCGCCCGGGAACCGGGAGGCAGGCCGGCGGCGGCATGAGGCTAGCGGCGCGGCGCCTGTGAGCAGCGCGCGGCGGCGGCGGGCGAGCACCAAGCGGCCGGGGCTCCCCTCCCCCGCTGCCGGGCGGTGATTTGCGGGCCCGCTGAGCCCCCCGCCCACTCGCCTCGGCCGCCGCCTCGCGCTTCCCCTCGTCGGCGCGGCCGCCCGCCCGGCTCGAGGCCCGCGGGAGCGCGGCGCAGCCCTCGGCCCGCGGGGGCGGCCTCCTGGCATCTTCGCGGCGACCAAGGACGACCCGGGAGGGGAGCCTCCGGGATGGCGCGTCCGCGGCCTCGCGAGTACAAAGCAGGCGACCTAGTCTTTGCCAAGATGAAGGGCTACCCGCACTGGCCGGCGCGGGTAAGTACTGTGACCGCGGCCCGCCGCCCACCATTTTCCCTTCATGATGGCGCGCCCGCCCCTTCCATCTCTCAGCCTGAGCTGCTGGTCAGGGCCGGCCGCGGCGGCAGCAAAGGCAGGCGGCGCTGCTCGAGGAAGACGAGACCGAGGCGAGGACTCCCGGCCGCGCCCGCCTGCCGCCATCCCTCCGCCCGCTTCGAAGGCGGGTCCGGTCCCCAGGCCTGGCGCGGCAGCCCTCCCGGAAAGCCGCGGGACTGGGTAGAGGGCCCGGAGAGGCGGCGGCCTCCGCAAGTGCTATTGGCAACGCCGGGGTCCGGGCGGACGTCGGGCGGGCAGGGAAACGTAGAGCAAGTGGCCGTCCACCAGCCAGCAAGCGCTGCAGCGAATCCTGGAAAGGGGTAGTGGTCATCCAGAGGCTAGTAGGGCCTCTTGGCAGGCGTTCATGCATCTCGGTGCATCCTGCGCCTTCCAGACTTGTTGAATTTCCCCTGAGCGCGATTCTGGTGCCCGCCTGCCCTGGCATTGTCCGGGATGCGTGCCTCCCTGGAACCTACCGTTCTCTTGAACTGACATCAAATAGAGGAGAGCTTGCAGTCTTTCACTGACTGGTGGCTCCTTGTGCCATTTCACCTCCATATTTGTTTTAGGTCGATCCCAAACCTTATTCTTGGCCTCCGCTATAATCCACAATAGCTCTCTTCCTGTGTAACAAGGTTGTCTCTGGGCTTTCTCTAGAAAGCATCTGCATGTATTATATAGAATTAAACATTTTTTAATTAGGCTTTTTGAGGAAGAAGGACAACAATTTTGTGAGAGTTGGCAACTGAATACTTGAAATAAGAAATACAGTGAGAAGGAGAAGCAAGACATTTTGGAGACTGTATTGGTATTCTTGAGGAAGAAGGAAAAAACGACCTAATTCTAGAGTGTGAGCACTAGAATGTTGTTTTGTAGTTAAGTAAAGATAACAAGACCAAGCTGGGGAAAATACACCCATTCACAAAAGGAAGTGACATCATGGGTGGCCACACTGAAATGTAGTGAAGTTGAGGCAGTAGTTGGACATAACCACTTTTTTTAAACATTTGGTTTGGCATGATTGTAAATGGAAAAAAACACTGGGCCAAGAATTGGGGGACCTAGTATCTGGCTCAGGCTCTGTTATGTATTAATCATTTCAACTGTCTGCATATCCATTTCTGCAAGTATAAAATGATCATCTCTAGGATTCCTTCCAACAACCCTGGAAATCAGGAGGATAAAACAATCATATTTAGGTTCCATTAGGCTCTGGATATAACTTATCCATGTTTGAACTGTGGGTTCTTAAATAAGGCAAAGTTTTCAATGTAGAGCTATTTGGATTTAAAAATATTGTTTAGTACTATATTGCTAGAAGGAGCAAGATTTGTGGCTTTAGGAGTACTTTAGGAAATCCCTGAATAAATCTGTCAAAGAAGAAATATACAGCTTTAAGATGTTATATGATTGTACGTCTTCAAAAGTGAACTAAAGGTTGTCATCATCAGTTGGCCATTCCTTGTAGTTCAATGGTTTTATTTAATCTTATCTTTGAAAAAATATCTTCTGAGGGTCAAAAAGAAAATAGACTAAAATTTTCATTAACATGCTGCTTGCACAGGTTGGCCACCTGTAGTAATTTGTGAAACAGAAAAGAGCTATAGGAAGTGCTCCTAACTGTATATCTGATAGTACATAAGATTCCCAAAAGTTATAATTCCAAATCAAGGCAAAGTGGGGAACCAAAATCCATCAGGTTTTGGAGTGTTGTATTTCTTATTTTGAGACAGGGTCAAGTTAAGTTACTTAGGGCCTTGCTAAGTTGCTGAGGTTGGCTTCAAACTTTTGATCCTCAGAGTCACTGGGATTATTAGTCTTGCACCACCAGATCTGGTTCCATCCAATTCTTAGATAAAATAAAATAGATACAAAGGGAAAAAAAATCTGTCTATTCACATTTGCCATGACCATCTCAAGAACCTAAGACTTTTTAAAAGTATTTTATAATGAGTGGCATGTTAAAATTTTCAAAGAAAGGATGCTTCATAATGTTCTCATCTTATTTTCATCTCAATACTATGAGGCATTATCCCCATTTTACACTTAGTTTTATCTTTGTAAATGAGTCTATAAAATACTAACTGGAAAGAAATCCTGTGTTTTCAGATTTCAAATACTCTCTTGATGTGGTCAGTCATGTTGGAATCAGATTCTCTATGGCCCCTAGGAATCAAACCTGGAAGGAAAAGCATGGGGAGACAGATTTCAGTTCATGCTGTAGGGAAGAGCTTTCTAACAGAGCTGGTCCATGCAGGAATAAAAAAGCAACTTCCTTGCTGTAAGGAAGATGTTTGGTTCCGGGCAGCCCCTTGTGAGGCACATAGGTCAAGAGGATTCAGAATTTAGGCAAATTTAATTCAGGCAAATTTGGCTGGGCCTCACACTTTTGTGACCCTGGGCACAAATATTCTGTAATCATTTCTGAGTTTCAGTTTACTAGTCTAAAATGAGAATAATTCTCACCATACAAATAGTAAAGTAGTCCCCCCACCCTTATCTGTGGTTTCACTTTCCACAGTGTAAGAATACAGTACTGTATCATAAAGTATTTTGAGAGATCACATTGAAATAACTTATTGCAGTGTACTGTTATAGTTGTTCTATTTTATTATTGTTGTTAATTTCTTATTGTGCCTAATTTATGAATTAGACTTTAATCATAGTTATATTTGTACAGGGAAAAAAAACAGTATATTTAGGATTTGATACTATCCACAATTTCAGGCATCCACAGGAGGTCTTGAAACCATGTGGTTAAGAGAGGACCATTATCAAAAAGCACCAAGTAATAGTGCTGGAATGTTTCTTTTTTTCCTTTTTGAATTTCTAACTTGCTTTTGTATTATTACACTATTTTTAAAATATTATTATTTTCTCCACATTTTATTATGAAAATTGTAAGCATACAGAAAAGTTGAAAAAATATACAGTAAGCCCCCATGTATCATTTAGATTCTGTAATTAAGGGTTGTTTTTTTTTTTTTTAAATAACCATATAACTGTGAACCATTATTATTTATTTATTTATTTGTGTGTGTGTGATGCTGAAGATTGAACCCAGAGCCTTGGGCATACTAGGCAAGTACTCTATGACTGAGCTACATCTTCAGCTATAATTTTTACTCTGTTTGCTTTATAGCATCTATTCATATACCCATCCCTCTATTCGTGCACTAGTCTATGTTTTAATACATTTTAAAGTAAGATGCATATATCTCTATAATTTACTCCTGGACACTTCAACATGCATGTCATTAACTAGAGGTTAATATTTTTTATGGGTCATTTTCTTCTGAGGTAAAATTTACGTAAAATGAAACATACTTAAATGTACCATTCTGTGAATTTGACTGATGTACATTCTGGTGACCTTGGTATAGAGTAGTGCCAGTATTTAAGAAAGTTCCCTCATGCCTCTTTCCTGGTGAATTCTTGTTCTCCTGCCTTTTCCTCCCCCACTGTTCAAGTATGTTATTTTAACATTAAAATAAAAAGTTGACTATTTCTATGGAATATACTTTATTATGTACAGATTTAAAAATTAGATATTTGCCTATGTCTAAGATTTAGCTAGTTTAATACTAAAATACTTAGACTAAAAACATGAGTGTCTGAAATCTTGATTGTGTACCCAGTTGGTTTAAAAAAAAAAAAAAAGCTGAGCTTGTGTTTCTAAGATATGTAAAGTTATTTTAAAATTGTGTGTACCTGTGCTTTGTAATACTGTTACATACATTATAAAGTAGACAAAAAAGAAACTGAAAGCAATGTATAAGTAATATTACATGTTTTAAATTTTTTAAAAAATTATTTTTTATTAGTTGTTCATGGATCTTTATTTTATTTACTTATTTATATGTGGTGCTGAGGATCGAACCCTGAGCCACAACCCCAGCCCCATGTGTTTTAAATTTTTTATTGGCAAAAATATCACTAACAGTAATAGATTACATCCATATTCTTAAAAGTCTTAGTTTTTGGAATGTTTTTTGCCTGCTTCTTGTGAGATGTGATTTAGATAGATGGTCATCACTGGGCACACACCTGTTGTCTCAGCTACTCCGGAGGCTAAAACAGAGGATCACTTAAGCCCAAGAGTTCAAGGCCAGCCTGGCAACATAGTGAAACCTTGTCTCTTAAAAAACAATAAATACTTTATATGAGAACTCTCAGACATTACTACTAGGAAATTGGTATAATCACTTTAAAAATCTGGCCTAATCTACTGAAGTTAAACACATATCCTACTTTGTGACCTAATGGTTTGTTCTAGCATACACCCAAGACAAAATGAGTGTTTACATCCACCAAAAGACTTGTACAAGAGTGTGCATACATAGCAACTTTACCCATAATAATAGAAGTCTAGAAACAATTCACATGTTCACCATCAGGAGGATAAATAAACAAGTTGGTAGTATATTCATTCAATAGAATACTTCTTTGCAGCAAAAAGGAATATAATACTTATGCTTGCAAAATATAAGGTTGTGTGAAAAAAGTCAGATTCAAGAGAGTACATTTGATATGGTTCTATTTATGTGATATTCAGAAACAAGCAAAACTAACCAATGGTAATCAGTGGATAGAGAGGAGTTACTGACTGGCAGGAGGCACTAGAACTATATCTTGATCTGAATGGTGGTTGTATGGGTGTGTACATTTGTAAAAACTTATCAAGCAGCATATTTAAAATTTGTGTACTATACTGTGTAAGTTATGCCTTAATTTTAAAAACACAAGACTAGAGGAAAGAAAAATCTAATACTGTAAGCTTCTCTGTAGGTTGGATTTCACCATTTTTATTTTCATTGGGCTTTTTTTTCCTCCAAGTCCTCTGTCCAAATTGCATCTTCTTGTCCCTTTTCACTATTTTAGAAACTTCAGTTAAGGCTGGGAATATAGCTCTACGGTTCTAT